GATTAATAACTCATTATAAAGATGATACAATGATGAACATTACATATTCCATTGCTAACAATATGCAGGTCCGATTTTTAATTTTGGAGATATTTTAATCCATATGCAAAATCACAACATTAGTCAACTCCAACCGACTTTACCATAGCGTCACACAACGAAGATCTGACGGCTTAATTCAATTTACTCCCCACAAAAAAAAAGTACAAATCACGCCTAAAGAATTTTTCACTTCAAAAATGATACCTATGGCAGACAGACTGGAATGATGCCAATATCTAAGAATAATTTATTGTTATTGTTATAATTGTAACTACTGCCTTTTTAAATTTTAAATTATTTTATTCTTCAGTCCTATTAAATGCCAATATTTCGCCAGAATAATAAAAAAATGACATCATGTTTAAAAATATTAGATAATACAACAATATAACAATGATACAGATGCAATCAGGGTATGAATCGAATGTTATGATGACGGTTTTATAACGCCACGGATCGATTCGAATATCCTTTTAATATCACAATAGCGTGAGACATCAAGGTCTTAATATTTAATATTAAACTTAGAAAGATTCTTATGAAGATGTACAATGAATAGGAGAATGATTTTATTCCAACAAGCATTAAATTTCGCTACCGTTAGTGGAAAAGGTCATATGTAAAAATTGACTTTTTTTTTACAAAAGAGCATAAAAGACAATTATTTCTTTATGATTTATTAGTATAATTTCATATTTTATTTTATTCGCTATTTTTAGCTATCAGGACGAAGAGAATTAACATGTAAAATTGTTACATATGACCTTATGCACTAACAGTAGTCATATATTTCTTAATAAACAAATTGAGAACGACAAAACTAATTCATGAACAGGGATGAGTAAGGTTCTATGTTTAAGGTATGAGTAAATAATAAATAAATAAAAAAGAATTTCCTTCAGGGAAGCATGGACGTGCAACGATACGCTCTGCTTACAGCGTAACATAATTCGGATGGAAGCTCTGTCTGTATTCACAGTAAATTGTTCTTATAACGTTGATACATGCTAATATAAACAACTCGAAGATTTATTGTACAATTATAAATATATATTATTTAAATTATAATTATTATCTTTATTTATTTTTAAAGAAGACCCTGAAGATTTGTTAGCACATCCTATTCGCCCAGTAAACAATTTTAAAGAAATATGTGTACAATTTATAATACAGATTTCTTCTTATTACCACATGAACAATATTCGACCATATAAATTTTAAAAAAAATACTTCTATCTTCATGATCTTCTCTTTATCTAAATTTTTAAAATGTTGACTTTTCCTCCGGTGAACTGTTCATTTTCAAAGTTAATATTTTACTATAAACATGATTTTGTTTTAATACGAAATCCTGAAAAAATGAAAAGCATTGCAATATAAACAGAATTATCGTTGACAAAATCCACGACCAAGACGAGACTTTTGGTATTGGTGTTGAGGACTCTATATTGGTATCTATCTTGTAGCAAGAGTCTAGCAAATCTTGCAATTACCTTCCAGCCAATTGTTATTTATTGAACATATTAATTTAGATCTCATAGCAACGAAACAGATACATTTTGAGCTTATATCTACTATGATATAGTAAACCCCAACCAAATATATTTTTCGAAAAACTTTTTTGTCATTATTTTCAAGAGTTAAGCTCAAATACACTATTCCACATACAAAAAAACCCTGTTTAGATTTAATGTAAAGTTAAAATGTTGAAGAACTGTACTATACACTATACTTCAAACTAAAATAATCAATACAACAGTATTAGTGTTATAACGACCAACTATTCCTTAGGGATAGGGAACGTGTATCATATTGATATCGATATTGAAAATAAATACTCAATAACGCCCAAATCTGAGTTTGACTCAACTGCGAGACGCAAGAGTCACGCAGGTTAGTCTTGTTTTTGCTCAAATCTTGCGGGGTCAGTATTGGTCTTGGTCTAGCTACAATTAGGCGGTGTGGGTCTTTGTTTTGCTACAATTAGGCGGCCTGGGTCTTGGTCTCGGTAATTTCTACAAAATAGCTGTAGGTTACGCTGACATGAAACTATTTACGAAGTTTCAGGCGGATTAATATATTCGATAAAGAGGGGTCTGTACGATGGGCTATTATAAAAATACTAAAATAATAAAAAAACAAAACAACTATTATAGTATTTTTATAACCGCCACCCCGAACCATCTTCTTACTCAATAATATACCACGGTCAACCATCAAGTATTCAATAATTATTTCAATTGAATACCAAGTTTGTTTTTTCCTGAAAAAAATCTTCACTCGAAGTACCAGGCTATTTAAAAAAAAAATATACCATACTTGACAGAGTATGTGAAAAAAAAAATTGGACCAACCGGCGTAATATGGGAGTAAATTTATTTTTAAGGGAGATTTGGTTGAAATCGATGACTAAATGACTATGACCTTCCCTCGTGAGTAAACAATGAAAACGTAAAGGAATAAAAAAATATGTAAATAATTGAATAAGTTCATTCATAAATACTGTACTACGCCGCTGGAGTAGTAAAGACGCTATGTTTAGAATGACTTAAGAGTGCCATTGACTCCCGTAGTAGCTGATGCTGGTTGTTGCCTTAACCGCCCACACATTTCACATTCGGAAAGCGTGTCCCCGCCACCTCCGGAGCATTAATATTAAATTGCCGTGATGAGTTGTAGACAGGTCGTGATCCTCCAACCCATTATCATAGGAGCAGCCGCCCATGCTAAATAGCTCCCCCGGGCACACTCAGCCTCTTAGGCTTATTCAACTGGAAACAGAAAAGGTCCCCTATTGTCTCCGCTCTGCCCTCACGATTCCACTTTCCCTTCTTCTGTCGCCGAGTTGCTTTCTCGTCCTCTGCGGTATCCTTCGTTGAGGATTCATTACTATTCTATTGCCAAGATTTTTTTTTTCTTAAAATATTGATAAACTTCACTCAGATAAATCAGTGGTACTTATATATTTTATTCCTCTACTTGGAGTCATTTACGATTTCTTCTGTTACAATGGAAAGCTAGAAGCGAGTCCTCGGTAAATGCAGATTTACACCCGTACAAAAAATCTTTGTCAATAAAAAAATCGTCTACAGTAACTACTGAGGGGATAATTGTTATCAATAAGGATTCAGGGACAGGATCATCTTAACGATGATTCGTGTCCACATTAACTTATGATTTTCAGGACCTACCAACTGTACTAAAGAAAAAAAATAATGAAGCTTCCTTAAAAGCCATTCTAAAAAAAAAAAAAAAAAAAAAAAAATCCGCCTGAAACTTTTTTCATCTTTTCAATAGTTTCATCTCATCGTAACCTACAACTATTTTATTTACGGAAACTTTAGGAAGTGGGAAGTTTTCAATCTGGAGGGGGGCAAACTTTTTCTATTTAATTAGGTACCAAAAACTCGTAAATACACATTAGATTTCTACTTGAATCGAAAGATAATTTGATCACAAAATCGAGAAAAAATGCGGCCTTAAAAAATATTGAGCCGTTTGGAGTGACCTACAACCACAAAATTTCAAAATAACGGCCCAATATTTTCGTAGGCCTCCATTTTTATCTATTTTTTGATGAAATTATCTTACGATCCAAGTAGAAAGCAAATGTGTATTTACGAGTTTTTAATACCTAATTAAATTGACAAAGTTTGCCACCCTCCAAATTGAAAACGCCCCAATTCCAAGAGTTTTCGTAAATAAAATAGTTGTAGCTTACAATGAGATGAAGCTATATAAGAAGTTTCAGGCGGATGTTAATAATTCGATAAAAAGGAGTCTATACCACGGACATCGACCACACATATAAGCTCAGAATTTTATGATTTTACAAAGAGAAAATTCTTATTAATTTAAGTTTATGAAATGTTGTTTGATGACTTAGCGTAATAAATCGACGATATACCTTTCAAGGTTGGAAAAATAAAAGTGAGAAGTTACTTATATGTATGTATTAGTGTGGAATGTGAGTGTATATGTATGTATAGGTATGTTGTGCGTGCATCGATAAATATTTTAAAAAATAATAAATTAGATAGAAAAAAGTAGCGTTGATGATGCTTTACGCCAGTGATCTAGCGATTGAGCATGATCTTTGTCAAGTCACCTCCTTCATAATCGTTTGTCACAAGAATACAGAACTCAAGACCCTCCATGTGTTGGAAGGGAATATAGTTTTCTTTACTCAATAATAATTAACTAACACCGGTTGTTCCAAACCGATATTTTTTTAAATAATTCAATCAACTGTAATATCTTAGAAATAATTATTTAAGTAGTGTTGAACATTGAACGCCATCTACGCTGATACAACAATTTTAACAAAACTCCATAACCCCAGACTAGCCTAAATAAATTTACAAAATTGGTACTCACTTTGGAAAATAAGATTAAATCATGACAAGTCACAGCATATAACATTTACACTTCGACGAGAAACGTGTCCACCAATTTATATAGGAGAGAACCGAATTCCTCAGACAAATACAGTACGTTATCTGGGACTAATATTTGACAGAAGGATGACCTGGGACCCACACTTCAAAATGAAACGACAGACCTTAAACAAGCAACTGAAAGTACTGTACTCACTTTTTTTCTAAATCGAAATTGAAAATTCGACAAAAACTAAATACATAGACTACCCACTCGAACCCATCTGGACATACGCCTCTCAGATTTACGGTTAGGCAAAAAAGACGCACAAAACCTACAGTCATTTCAATAAAACTTTTACGACTTATAACAGGAGCTCCCTGGTACGTCCACAACAAAACTTCACATAACGGCTTACGACAACCACCACATACATACTCTCTGCTCTCGTTTTCATCTCAAACTACACGGACACACAAACAGACTTATAAACAACATGGCTTCGACTGACATGCTCATCAGGAGGAGACTTAAAAGGAGATGGATGAGAGATCTCCTCACCTGAATCAAAAAAGTAAATAATGACCAGGAAGAGGTGCTGCTGGGTACTATCCTTTCTCATGTCTAAAATGCCAATTCTCATCATCACAACACATCTGCTGATTGTCAATACCATGACAGGTGCGGATAGATAGTAAAAGAGAAAAAAAAAAGTAGTATTGTTTTGATATTAAAACAATACAATTTTCAAGATACTCGCTATAATAACATAATATTGCTTATTATAGGACTAAATGCCTTCCCTCCCCCTTCCCCCCGACGCCATGACTTACAACGAAGCACAATGGAAACACTCCACCCAGGACAGAGCCAATTTTTACGGCTAGCTGAGCGCTGTCGCCCAACGGTTGTGTCGTAACGCTAGTTTGAGCAATTCATAAGGTTACACACTCTTAACACACAAGTTTTGCCGCCCCAGTCGTAATAATCAACATACTTTCACGCCTCTTATCAAGGCTAGTTAGAAAAAAACATTCTTGAGGCGAAGGTTAGTTAAAATAATTACGGTTATAACAATGCGGCTAAAGATAGACAATTTATATGAAGCGTAGACGATTAGAGACCGAAACTTAAAAGAAAACGCGTATCATAAAATCGCATATAATGTAATGATCTAAACACCAAGTAAAATTAGTAATGTTTATAATTACAAATGGAATATTTTATGGATTCAGTCGTTGGTAGCTAGATAAATATATTTATAGCTCATAAGTAACGCTATTAATAGACTTCAAACTGTTGACTGGATAGAAGAACAATTATAAAATTCATTAAGAGTAAGTGAATATAGAAAAAAATATGGATCGGTGAGCGATTTACAAGCAAAGAGAAATGAAAGTAAAAATTAAAGTAGGTAGAAAATATTATATAAAATAATTAATTACGGTTTTTCACAACCGTCTAATGTATTATATTTATGTTTTTTTCTCACTATTTTTATATTTCTGTAGTTTACACATTTAATAATACTAATAAAAGGCTTAGCGAAGCAGCAGTTTCGATACCGACACCACCAATCGCTTATTACACACCTCCCTCCACTGTTCCCCGTTCAAACCTAGTCCCTTCAGATAGGCTTTAAAGCAATCTTCCCACCATCGCTTCGGTCTACCCTTCGGACGTTTACCAGTTGGTAGAGCAAATATTGACCTTTCAGGAATTCTCTCGTTACTAAGCCCAATAATTTTACAAACCCGAGATGAAATCACCTCGATTATATTACCCGGATACAGTTCACGCAATTCGGCGTTGTGCAACCGTCTAAACTCTCGGGTTAATTCATCCTTCTTCGGTCCGAATATTTTGCGCAATACTTTATTTTTAAAAACCTTAAGACGTTGCTTATCTCTTAATGTAAGCGGCCACGTTCCGCATCCACAAAGAACTGTAAGTAGGATAATGGTTTTATAGATTCTAGTCTTTAAATTCCGGGACAAGATGCGCGACCCAAGTATTTCTGTCACAAAAAAAATAAGGATTTCCCGCCTTCAGCCTAACCTTAATCTCTTCTTCAATTTCGTTTTTTCTAGTTATCGTAGACCCTAGATACCTAAACTTCTCTACCTGTTCAAACATACCACTATCTATATCGATATCACCAGTAATATCGCAATTTTTGTAGCTAACCATATATTTTGTCTTATCCGTGTTTAGTTCAAGCTCTATTTCTTTACTGGCATTCATTAATGTTGTCGTATTTAGTTTTATAGTTTCCACGTCTTCGCTTAACAGTACCAGATCATCCGCACGGGTGTTGTCCCACCCAGATCCAACCATTTTTCGGTACGCATTACCCCCCTAATGCAAAATCTACACATTTAAATACAAAATATCGCTAGTATTTATGAAAACCGCACATGCACATGCAATAATAATGTTATTCGAGCCCGTTTTTTTATCAAGCGCGTGTTACGTATGGAAACCTATTCTAATCTTTCGGACAAGCTTGGTTGAGCGTTCGGGTTTCTTCTGATCTCTATTACAATTCTTTATTTCTTATTATTACATTTATTTAGTTAATTATAAAATTCTTTCACATTTAATATATATCCATTATTAATATCAGATTACAATGTAAAATGGTTAATTATTATACTATGATATAATGAATTAAATTTTTAGAGCTCTTTTCGAAAAAAAATTGTAAAAATGTATAAAATTAAAATATAATGTGGCACTAATTTTGTTGAAAAAGTTTCTCTATCATCCTAATATACTAATATCAGTTTTATAAGACTTTTCGTTTTAATGCTAAGCTGTTCACTTACACACACAAAGACTATTTGGATTATTTGGACACAGATCTCAGAAACGTTGAAAATTCAAATTAAAAATTTTCAAGATCGGAATAACTTCCCTTACTATATATTACTTATGTGAGTAGATGGAAATAAAAATAAACTGGAAATTTCTCGAATTGTTTTAAACGAAAAAAAGAATATAAGTAAATATTAAAATTATATTAATTACAAAATGAAGTTGATTAAATAAATAATGCTCAGCAAATGAGAAAAACACTTTTTTTTCTAGTTATGTGAAAATTCGAAAAATATATGGAGTATATTAATACACAGTAACATATTCTGAAGTAATAGTTCCTTAAAAAAGGCACAACATATTCACAGCAGGTATCACTGCCAAGGCTAAAGGAAGTCGTTTATGTTAATTTAAAACAAATTAGAATTTAAAAACAAGTTAATAATTAGCTGAAACACAAAAAGAACAGAAAATGACAATGACCCATCGACCATGACTTTCTCACTATCATCCGACTAGAGTATTATTATAATTTTTTTTTTATATATATAAATAAATAAATGCTTTTTTTTTTTGTAGTGGTGAAGATTTTGAGAATTTTTTTTTAAATGTTGTTGATCATTCATCATCACATATATGGTAATTAGGGATTGATTATCGTTATTTATTTAGTTATTAAATTTTAAATTATTTAAGTGACCATGTCTTTTTGTCTATGTTCATAGGTCTACGTTACTTGCTGTGTGTTCTAATTTTCTGGTGTTAAAACTTTGGCATTCGTATATATATATATATATATATATATATTTTTTTTTTTTTTTTTTTTTTTATTTATTTTTTTTTTTTTAGCCCTATAGACTTTGGACATTGTCTTATATCGGTTTCACCGAAATATGTATATTATAGTATTTATATTGTTTGTGCTGTATAATAGAAAAAAGAATTTGTATATAATTTGTTAAAACTTTGGCATTCGAATACTATGTTTTTATTTTTGTTTTTAACCCTATAAATTTTGGACATTGTCTTATATCGGTTTCACTGATATATGTATATATAGTATATTGTATAATTCTAATTGTATTTATTAGTATATTATAGTATTTATATTGTTTGTGCTGTATAATAGGAAAAAGAATTTGTATATAATTTGTATGCCAAAAAAAAAAAAAAGGATTGATGAGTATGCTGTGTATCTAGCAACCCTATATAGTAGGGCAGCACTGCTTTAAATAAAGTATTTTTCTCTCCTTAACACTAATGCAGTTGAAGATGATTTCAGTGATATACATCCATTAAAAACACACCGCAGTTATTACAATACGAAAATAATAGTTACGAAAATATGTTTGAGTAAAGCCGACTTTTTTTCTAAGGAAAATGAGGAATCCTTGAGGGAGGTCAGCGGAAAGCGTAAAATTTTTATGAGCAATAATCTTCCTTTATGACGAGGTCTCCTCAATAAATTTTTCAGGGACGTGAGACTTTCATAGACTAATTAAAAAAAAAAAAAAAAAAGTAAAAACGAATAAAAAATTTAAGGATTCTTCGTGTAAAAAATTTGTATGCGTTACCGGTTTATTTAATAAATACAAAAAAAAAATAAAAAATAATCGAGCCTTTCAGTTGGCAGAATGACTAATTCAAATTTCAACATTTTTGATTATTAATTTTAGTGATGTTTCTAGAAGGATAATTTAAACCTTTATCCACAGTTCCGTTATTTTTTGGTATATTATTTATTGTATATACTTTCTGATTATTATTTAGTTGTTATTTTTCTTCTGTTTATTTTTTTATTATTATTATTATTATTTATGGCTATAAGATTTTACACCAAATTCTATTTTGCCTTCAGTTTATTTTCTTTTTTTTTATATGTAGTATGAATGTGGTATTACCTCCCTATATTTATTTTCCAAGAGACAGAATATTATATTAATACTTTATATATATATATGATACCAAATAACTAAAAAAACACGGTTTAATATTTCAAAACAGCAATAACCTACTCTGGAATCAATTTACTCACTGGCTATACAGATATCACTAAAACGACATTACTCAAAAATATTGAGATTAGAGTTAGTCATTCTGTCAACTGAAAGGCTTAATATTCTTAAATGCATACATACATACATATTACATATTCCAACTGGATTGTCTCTTAATTGAAGTCAAGTACTGCTCATTATTGGTTATAAGTGACATCATTAAAATAATAAATTTTGAAACAATACGGAATATTTTAAAACAACATATTTATAGTTAGATAATTTAAATAATTAGATTGGTGAAAACAACACCTTTAACTGTAATTTTTTTTTAATACATAACCGTGTTACTAATGTATTATCTATTAAAATAATTTTATTTTTTTGAAAATATTACAATCTGTATCAAAGGACATTTATAATAGTGTTCAGAGATCACATTAACATTCTATGTAAAATAATAATAATATATACTAGATGAAAGACTAAAATACTAGATTCAGTAAAAATGATAAAAACGAGACAATTAATTATAATTAGCCACTAAACTATATCTGCGGCCTCATATCAAAGAATAATTTCTGACATTTTTAAAAGGTTTTAATAAAAAGCCAATTATCTGCAAAATTGCTTCAATTTAAACCATTTCTAATTTTTTTTTTCAACTTGAACATTCTTAAATAAAATCATCACTATCTGAAAATGACAGACGTCCATGTTTGATATGAAGCGACTCAAATACATTATTAAGGAAAATTAGAATATTTATATTTAATAGTAAAAAACAATTGTTAGGCTTCACGCTATATGAGTGTTGCTTCTTGTTAAATTTATAGCCCATCTCAATTTCAGTGATTTTCATATCATGAGATATTGATTGAATAGTATCTGTAAGCAGTTCTTTATTGGCCCGTCTACTCGATGCGTTAGCACTCTAATCCCAGATCGCTCGGGTATTGAAGATTTTTTTCTCAAATCTTTTAATAATTCTTTCTAGTATATAGCGATCGTATGAAGTCACTTAATAGTTTTCTAAACGATCATTTATGAGTCACTTAAAAGAAAAAGAAAAAAAAAGATAGGCTTCTTTAAATAGACATTTGAC